AACAAAGTGATAATAAATGTAAAATAAGTCATTTAGGTCATTAATTATCAAGACTGTATTTGAGAGATTCCCACTTGAAGAAATAAGAAATATTTGGATTATAAATGCAAGTCCTCACTAATATTCTTTGTCAATGTTATTTCCCCAGAGTTATCAATAAATATTGTAGGATGTAACAATTTATTAAATCAATTAAATGGTATGGGACTCTTTAGATTTTTACAGATAAGTATGTCAGAGAAGAAATTATTATAGTAAGTTAAAATGGATGTAAATGGATGTATAGTAAGTAAAAATTATGGTAAGTTAAACCACAGTTTCTCATTGTTTTTCCAAAATTAACACATAAATTTCCAAATAAAAGATTTCTTTAAATCAACATCTTGTAATATGTATTAAGTGTCCATAATAACCAGGTACTACAGTGCAGAGATGAAAAGGATGAGCTTTGGCGAATGGTCCCGCAGATGAGGCATGCATGGAAAGACCAGAACTTCTAGAGAAAGTGTCTAGGACACCGGAATGGCTGGAGGATTGGGGGTGCTCCCAGAGGGTGGGAAGAGAAGGCTAAAGAAGGAAGCTGAAGGAACATCTGGAGAAGATGGCAGGGACCAGATAAGGAAGGATCTTCCCACGTTCTAAGAAGTATGGTCTTTGGCCCGAAGACCGTGCAGACTGTCTCAGCCAGAGGACCTTAAGGACCCGGTGATCATGCGACCAGAGGTTCCCTTTGGCAGCAGCATTGGGGATGTGTTGGAAAGCAGTGATACTGAAGACTAGTTAAGAGGCGACTGCAAAGCTGCAGGAGATGAATGAGAGGGTCCCAATAAAGGCTGTACATGTGGAGACGAGGGTTAAGACAGATTGGCTGGCACATCGTGATTTACTGAGTGTGGAGGAAAAAGAGAGAGAAGTAGAAAAGAGGGAAGGAGAGGGTACCTTCAAGGGACTGAGCCGGGGTACTGGCTGCATGATGGTCGTGTTCCCTGAGCCAGGGAAGCTGGGAGGAGCAGCGGGCTTGGAGGAAGATGACAGAATGCGCAGGAAGAGCGGCTTTCTCATACACAAGATGTGCCTCTCTGCCTATTTGTTACATGGAGACTATAGGGAATGGTTTGAATGAATCCTACTTCCTGTTTTTGATAGCAGGTGACCTGTGACGTCCTGGCGGCACTCTGCTGTCATGGCTCTCACCCTGGCCAAGTTCACTTAGGGTATAGACGGCTGTCACGGCAGCAGGGGGGTAAGGCCGAGGGAGAGGAAATGCCTCAAGAAAGGGAACCCAATGATCTCCATGTCCATTTTCACCAGACACAGCCAATGGGGAACAGCAAGCTGGGGTTTGGGGGAACTCTAAGAGTTGGGTCCCTGCTATTAGAAAGAGCCCTTTGTTGGAGTCCTGTGGGCTCAGCAGGGTTGAAGCATAAAGTGAGTTCAGTTTTCTACAAGAACTCTGAGGGGCCAATGTACCACGTGAAGGAGTTGGTCAGAGATGGGCCATCATAGGGGTCAGGCTTATAGACAAGGGCCAGAGGTTGGGCCAGGGAAGTGAGGGCAAGGGACCAGGGGCGGTGGGGGAAGATGGCACTTGTCAAAAGATGGTTCCAGACATTTAGAATGCAGAGTCCAGAAGCAGCAGCTCTGCTTGGGAATTGGGCACCTAGTCTTTGGGGATTGGGGAGGAATGTAGGTAGGTCAAGCTGGGTCTGTGAGTCATGCAAGGGAAGTGGAATGCTGGGGTCTGAGATGTCAAGCCAAAATAGGAATAAAGAGATGGGAGGAAGGACATAAGAGGAGGTCAGCAAGGGGTTAGGAGGCTTATCGTATCTATCTGGGAGCAATAGAAAAGCTGGGGTCCAAAGTCTGGGAGTCTTGAATTTGTCACTTCTAAGCTCTTAAGAGGACCCTGGCACCACCAGAAAGAGTCTTTTGACATTATTTGGCTTCTGATTGCATTTGTTTCCTATCTCACATGCTCTCCCTCACTGCGAACTGCTGCAACACCAAACTCCAGTTCTTGGAACGCATTGTGCTATTTCATGCCTCACTTACACTGGTTTATCTTCCTAGGAATATGCTTCTACTGCTTCGCCTACCTGGAGCACTCTCCTCATCCTCCAAAACCAAGCTATGATCTCGCCTACTCTGATCTCCACACAATGCCTTGGAATGTTATCATTGCACTTAATATGCTACATAGCAGTTTATTAAAAATAGAGGTCATCCACCTCATGGTGGCACATAGTAGGCCAGCAGTACAGGTCTGGGAAGTGAGTGAGAGGGTGTCTCCTCATATGGGTGAGTTTACCTTCCTCTGACTGGGCTACCAACACCACAACACTGACTGATTTGTTTCTCGAGCCGCAGCAGGACCGCCTTACTTAGAGAAAAGTTAACAGCATAGACTCTAGATCATTTGGTGCTGGCTTTGGCCCTGGGGCGACCTCACAGCCTCCCAGATCTCCACAGCACCTCAGCCAGCGCTACCGCTCAGTTCTGCAGAACATGAGAGATGTGAACACAAGAGATGCTCCTGGCATCGCCAACCGCAGATCCCACACTGGGAGCTGGCCCTTCAGAGGATGAGCCGAAGAAAGAGAGAGATGACTGCTATGTGGCTCTAGGATGGGGACTGTGTGTGTGTGTTGGGAGAGACTGAGCTCCAAGGGGTTTCTGAACTGCTGTGTGGATGGGCATTTTTCTGCAGAGACAGCTGACAGCGTTCATAGGTTTTGCAAAGAGGTCATGACTACTCAATATTAAGACCTACCATTCCACAAATGTGCCTTTCTTGAGGCAGCTCTGCTCAGAGAACCAGCTACAAATTTGAGATCACAGGAGCCTTGGTCCTAGTCAAGGCAGATCATGGAAGGGACTCAGGTTCCCCCACAGCATGGCACTTACATGTTCCCATACCGCCCCCCAAAAGCCATTCTGAAGATAGACATTGTGTGAAATTTAAGGGAGCTCCATGGTCTGTGTCTTCTACAAGATCAAGTGCAATGTGTGAGAAGAGTTAGCTTTGGGAGACCTCTATACTGGCCTTTTTGTTCCTTAGAACAAATATCCCAGAAAAAGGTGGGGCAAATCTCCAGGGTCTCACTCCTGATGAAAAGTCTTATTTGACCTTGTTCTTTCATCAGTCTTGGCCTTAGGAAGGAGTAAATAAACAGACAAATCCTGTGCCACTCTTTTTTACATTTGACCTTTCCTTTTTTCTAGCATAGAAACCTGTGGTTTTAGAAGACAGCAGAAAAAGGTTTCCATAGTAAAGAGGCAAGAAGCATGTGTGCACACACACACAAATAGAAAGCCAATCTAAAACTGGAGAGTCTTGTACTAAACTCTGGGGAATTGAGAGTCACTTTTCACCCACATCCTGTAGGGGTAGAAAAAGCACAGGAAAAGGTTTCTATTAAAAATGTATGTATTTTTTTCTTTTTTAAAAAAAACATAAATTACTCATATTTACCCAGATATATGAATAGCTCAGCTGGATTTTTTTTTTTTTTTTTTGGCTTGGTTCCCGCTGATTTTCCCTTAACTTCTGAAAAGATGATTTAAAAAGTATCCTTACAGTGAATTTTTACATTTCAATTGTTAAGAGCACATGCTTTGTACCCAGACAGGAGTGGCCTATGCCACTTCTAAGTAATGCTGGATGGTTTCTTAACCTGTTTAAGAACCTGATTGTTCATCAATTAAAATGGGAGTATGCATACTACCGACTTCAAATGGCTACTGAGAGAATGAATTGAATGATGCATTTAAAAACTGTAGACTAGCCCAGCACATTCTAAGCAGTCACTAAATGGTAGCTAAAGAACAGGAGTTGGGGAGTAACATCTCTATCAATGAAACAAATAATTCCAAGGACACATTTTTGTGCATTATCATATACGTTAAAACACAGAGAAAGAAAAAAACAGAAATAGCAGGGCTGTGTTTCTCAGTGAGAATTCCCCACGTCTTACATTGCATGGGGTGGTTAGACTGCATTCTTCACCTTCAGGCGAGCTGATATCTGGCAGAAAAGGGTCCTTCCTGCCTTGCAGCAATGTGGGTCATCTGTCCAGGTCCACATAGGGCCCAGAAAGCCACAGCCTGGAAGGCATCTCTTTGTCCCAGTGACCAAGCCCTGCAAGTCCTATCTGCTCTTCCAGAAAGTCCTGGTCAGACTTAGCCCTGCTCCAACACGCCTTCTGCCCATATTCATTAGGCTCAACTAAGTTAAGATCCTAGATGGTTCTAAGTTCACTGGGCCAGGAAATGGTACTCCCGAGGATTTGTTAATGAAATGATCATCATCCTTCAGAACCCATCAGGATTGCATTTTCATTTTTTCTTCAAAAGCACTTTTACTTACATTTGGTAAATTCACCATGTCAGAAGACTCTTTCCTGGGGTTTGGCCTTTTAAGTATTGAAGGTTGGGGACTTTGGACTATGAATTCTTCCTTACTTTTGACAAGCACTCTGGCTAAGTTGGTGTAAAATGGTGCTGCTCTGTTAAGCCTCATTCCTCATTGTCTCCCACTCAGATTGCATCAAATGCTTTCAGCAAATGGGCTCCCCACATGGTCTGCAGCCGCACTGGACTTCCAGCGATCCACTCATCAATCCCATCAAGGACATCTTCTCTAAACTTCTCTGCCCTGTGGGATCTTACGTCTTCCAAGATTTCTGTATGGCCTAATCACTACTTTAAGCCTAAGTTTCTTTTCCCTCTGGTGTCACTACCTTCTCTACAGGAGAAGATGGAAAGAAAAACAAATCATTTTCATTTTATTAAAGAAGGTTGACTTAGCTTATTAGTAAAAATCAACAGATACTCTAGAAAGTTCCCCCATCATACACCAACTCCTTTGACACCAGGGAAGCATGGGTCAGCCCTGGGATTGGGATCAATGGGATCCACGTGTCCGTTCTGGACATTTCTTACAAAGGTTCACTACCACAGGTGACTTTTCAAAGAAAATCAGAGCAACAATGTTTCCTTACCCGGCAATCTCTCTGAAGCGTTTTCATGAGCGCACTGTATGTTTCTATATCAAAATACAACCCTTCGTGCATGTCTTGCAGGAAATCTAAGTCCTTAAATGTGGGGTTGGATTTTTCTCTCTCTTTTCGGGATGCTCTTCGTTTATAGGTCGAACCTTTCAAGTCATATGTAAAGTGCATTCTCATGGAGCGTGGCAAGACATTGTTCATCACCACAATTCGGATGTTAATGCCCCCCGATTGCATGCAATATAGTCCATAAAATTTTGGCAAAAGAGTCCTTGGATTCTGGTTTAAATTCTAAAAAAAAAAAAGGAAAAAAGAAAAGATGGTTAAAATCTCCTATTTTCATAAAGTAAGCTCCACTAAAGATGTGTTTTCATCTACTATGATAATTTAAAAAAAAAACCGGAATGTGATTATCTTTATGAAGGGCCATTGCTAAAAGTTTGCTATTCTTAATCTAGTTCTTAAATTGGCTTATTGCAATAACAACTTTATCATTCTAAATTCAGGACATTAAAAGTGGATGAACTAAAAATGAACTCAAAGTCTCAAATTAGCTCCAAGTAAAAATGGGCAAAGAATTGATTAGTGCCATGTGTGACTATTCTCTAAGGTAGCTAAAGAGAAAATTAATTCCTAGGGTATATGGGATGAACATTTTAAATTTTAATAGCTCCTGAAAAACTGTCTTCCAAAATGGCCAGACTGATTTGCAAGCACACTTTGTAAGATTACATATTTTTCATCGCTCTTACCAGGTGCTGTGTATCAAACTTTAAAATCTTTGTGAGCGTGACTGGTTTCTAGAAACGGAAACTTGTTTCTAATAATTCGAACACCAGCGATCACTAATTTAATATTTTTAGCTACCTCAAAAATAATTTTGTGCTAATACCCTATTGCTCATTTTTTCTTCTATAGGTTTTTGTCCTTGCTGGAATTCTTGATATGGTCTAGATATTTAACAGTTTCCTTCCTATATGCGGTAAATATTCTGTCTGAGTTTTTATTATAAAAACAAAGATTACATGCCTAATTTTGTTCTACTTTAAAAGTAGGCGATAAAGGGCAAATATATAATGAAAAGTCACTCTACTATGCTTGATCCTTCCCTAATTCCCAATTTTTAAGGAAACTAGCATTCCCACTTTCGTTGTATCTGTCCAGAAATATCCTATGTGCTTATCTTAATTTTGTGCCAATATTTTTTCGTTATACAGATGTTTTGTCTTTTAATGTAGTATATTTATGAACTCGTTTCTTGGGCTTTTTTTGATTCTTGTTTAACAAAGCTTTTTATATCCCAAAGTTATAAATGTCTTCCGTTCTCTTCCAGATTTTTAATAGTTTTGGCCATTAGATTTAGTTTTTACCCCATAAAAACTAAATGTCAGTGATTTTCAGCAGATGTGCCACAAGAATTTTTAAAACATGCAATACTTGACTATTTAGTGAGGGGCACTGACCTCTTTTTCCTTAGACTGTCAAATAAAAAATGGTAACAGCCAATGCAATAAAAGCTATCTGGTGTGAGTGAATCAAAATGATACCTGTTTTTTTGGTCAGATTAGCAAAAATTGTAGTTTTTGGTGTGCTGCAGAATTTTAGCGATTAGTTTATGTGTGCCGTGAGATTAAAAATGTTGCACTGCCATATGGAATTAATTTTGTGTGTGTGAAAGATCTGAAATGGGGAATTTAATTTTTTCTTTAATAAACGGCATTTATTGAACAACTGGTCCTTTCATAATTGAGCTCAAGTCCCTCCTATATCATACAATAAGTTGTCAAAGCACATGGGTCTATTTCTGGATACCATTTGAATCCACTGATCTATGGGTCTACATCTTTAATATTAGTATAGCCTAATAGATTTTTGGCATATGTCAGAGTAGGCCCATCATTTTTCTTCAAAAATGTTTTGTTCATTCTTAAAGCTTTTCCTTTCAACTGTTTAATTTTTTAAATGCTCTTAAAATAATACTTGTTTTTACTTTGAAATGAATCAACTTTTTCAAGTTCTGGGAAAAATTATATTGGGATTAGACTAGATTTATATGTTTATTTGGGGGTAATTGAAATCTTTACAACACTGAGTTCAGGGATGATGCATATCTCTATTATTTCAGATCATTTTTTATATCTCTCAGTAAGTTTTTTTCTTTTCATCATATTAGTCTGGTATATTTCCTTTTATAAACTCAAGTAATTTAGAGTTCTAATTACAAACATTTTGGGGAGATTACTGTTTGCATGTTACACTTACTATAACGTGCTTTCCCAGTCAGAATCATAGCCTGTCTTCATTTATTTATCTTTATTTTTCTACAAGTGTTCCTTATAAATTATTTTCATCATGAATGGAATCTTTTGTCCTCCTCTATATTCTCCAGCTCTATATGACCTAAATAATAGAATACAATGGATTTTGTAGATTTGTCTTATCTCTGCTGGATTCTCATCATCCAGAAACTACTGGTTTATTGTCCTGAAGTTTTGCTCATTTTCAATTATATCATTTATGGAGAAAAGTGTATACAGTTTTCTTCTATTTCTGTACCAAAAATTTATTGCTAGGAATTCTAGCAAATATATCAGAAAGGGCCACTGAAGGAGGACATCCTTGTCTTTTTCTATTATTTCCAGTGAAAGAGCTCTTGTTCTTCTCAATGACCTATGTGAACTTTTGGAGATTGATAAAGGTATAATATATGCATATTCATTTATTTATTTATGAAATTAAAAGACTTCCCTGCTAATTTTTAGAATTTTAATTAAGATGTTGAATTTTGCGTGTGTTAGTTTCTCTTCAGTGTCGATTTGGAGAACTACATAATGTTCCCGCCTTCTTCTTGTTAATGGAATGAATTATATTGTTTGTTATACTAGCTTACATGACTAAGATAAAACCACTTGTTCAACTAAATTTTAAAGTTTTATTGAATTTTAATTAATTTTAATTTAATAGTCATATAAGAAAATAGTCTATCTAGACCTATAGAAGCTTAGGACTATAGAAGTTTAAGATTTACTCAAGAGTTTAGCAAAGAGTGCAATGTTTGTTTGATTGCAATTTTAGATTACTTTAAAATGCGTGTATGAATAAAATACATCTGAAAGGATATATACCAAATTATATTAAATATTAGCAATATGTATCTTTGGGAATGAATTATAAATGGTCACATTCATTTTCCTTTTCTATATTTTCTATCTTCTCTAAAAGAAAGTAGACAATTTGTTCTAAAAGTAAAAAAACTACTTGTTCAGGATCAAAACCTTTTCAAATCTGTGCACTCTGTCATTTAAGATTTTTATTTAGATGTTTGATTCCTATTTTTATATGTGGGACTAATTTACAGAACTTAATGTTGTCTCTAACTGATTTTGGAGCTTAATAATCTTTTACATGTAAATGAGCTGTGTGGCAGCTCATCAATTTTGTTTTGAAACAAAGATGATAGTTACCAATCACAGCAAGTCAATAGCAGAACCAGGGCGTTCAAAATCTAGAGAACAAACTGACAGTAACCAGAGTGTGATGGGAAATGGGGGAAAGAAGGGGTAGGGTCATCAAGGAACATGTACACCCATGGACAAAGCCAAAGGCGGTAAGACTGAGGGTGGGAGGTGGGGGTAGGTAGGGTGGGGGGAAGTGGTGGCTGGAAAATGGAGACAACTGTACTTGAACAACAGTAAAAAAAAAATCTAAACTTCCAGTAGCCATTCCAATCACAGACAATCAACAACTGTTATGAAGGTACAAAGAAGGGAGAGGTGTGAAAATGACAAGATTACTTAAGAAAAGTGTTTATTTTTGAAAAATTTGGGCTAAATGTCTAGTAAATACACTCGGATTAGGTTACTGTTTCTTTGTCTCTAAGGCATTATGCAAAAGGTGATTTTCAGGTCATCGTATTTAGCCTATGAAACCCACATTCTGAAGCATAGTGGTTATTTTTGAATACATGTTGGTATGTGGTGTAGGGGTTAAAGACGAAGCCTTTTGGAATCCTACCTCTTGTCTTTAAGTCCCAGCTCCACAGCTCACTAGCTGGATGACCCCTGGCAACCTACTCCATTTATTTTCGTTGTGAGGATTAAATGGCTTAATGCATGTAAAGCCCTCACAGCTGTGTTTAACAGAGTTTAGCACTCAGTGAACATTAACCACTCTTATTGCTACCATGCACTGGGTGCAAAGAGCTTTGCAATGAATGCATTGCTTCCTTTTTCTTACATCCTGTATCTTTTCTATATCACACCCACCACATAAAAATAGGTATTCCCCAGCTTTTAAAGACTGAGGGGACGAAGACTCAGAGGTTACCTTGCTTACTCATGGCCACACAGTTAGCTGATGGCTGAGCTGAGATTTGAACCCAGGACTGAGAGAGTCAACAGTTATATTCTACTACTCTGTTCTCTTTTGGTTTTAAAAATCTAGTCAACAAATGTCATAGTATAGTCTAAATGCAAAATAAAGTTCACCAAAGAGAAGAAACATGCCAAAAAGTCCCTGAAAAAAAATACAGAATAAAACTTTTTAAGAAAATAATTACACCTCAAGTAGAAGCTTTAATTATGTTCAGTTATTTACCATGTAATAGCCTGGCAGCAGCTTCTGAAGGAACTCTGCCTCTTTATGCTGAACTGTTTTGATAATAAATTCATCATCACTGGTCACAAAAAACAAGGATCCACTGGCTCCGGGGTTGGACAGTTCTATTAGAGGTTCATTGCAGAGGGAATACTACAAGAGTAAATAAATACACATTTAAAAATATATTTAATGTACATGGCACACCCAAAGGAGGAAAAATCACAGCATTACATACCTTGGCCACTTTGAAAAAGGAAGCGCTCTCCATGAGCTTTAAAAAGAGGCTCCAGGTATACTAAGAAGGCTCTTTGCAAGATTTTGAAAACTTTAATTGATCTGTTTATCTTAATAATACTTTGATGGCACACAGACATGTCCTTCCCATCCCCAGGGTTATGTGACAGAATCATAAATGATCATATGTATTCAGAGAGATAACCCAAACACTAGTGTTGACTAAGGTGCTTTGTTTCCAGCAGGTGCCCATAAATAAGAACTAAAGGTACGATCCACACTGAGTATTTGTCATTTGCACACTAACACCTGTTCTCTTCTCACGATTTATTCTTCCAAAGGATGTTATCCACTTAAGGTTTCAACAAGATGCCTCTAACATCTGTATCTCCAGCCCAGGTCTCTCTTTCTCTCTGTAGGACTCTGGAATTGCATACCTAACTTTTTAATAGATATTTCTACTTAGTGTTATCACAAACACTCCACATGCAACGAGTTCAAAATCAAAGTCGTCTCAGTGCTGTGGTTAGTCCATATGGCACCTTGGTGGTAATTAGAAGGAGATGTAGTGCTGGGCCAGATACAAGGTTGATGAGTAGAAGGGCAGGATTCCAGGCTCCACTCCTTCACCTGGGCCAGGTGTTCTCGGACACCCTGCACAACCATGCATGGCAATCTACATCATCCGGTGTAATGCATCTTGGTAATGTCCAAGGCACTTACGAAGCTTATATACTAGGAGGAGGAATCAGACAGTGAACTAACAAGTAAATAAATTATATATCACAGAGTGGTAAGTGCTATGAAAAGTGGGCAGAGAGTACCAGCAATGAATGAGGACTGGGTTGCAATAAATTTTAAGCATGGTGGCCACTGAGAGCCTCGTTGGGAAGGTGGTATTTGAGCAGAGGCCTGTGGATGTCTGGGGCAAGGGCATATCAGGCAGAGGGGAGGACAATGTCAAAGTGTTGAGGCCTCAAGAGGTGAAGGCACAGCAAGGAGGCCAGTGGCTGGAGCAGGTATGCAGAGAGCCAACAGGGATGAAGTCAGAAGGGTAGAGCTGGCCAGAGAACACGGGGTGCCATCGGCCACTGTAAGGATGATGGCCTTGCCTCTAGAGGAGCTGAAAGCTACTGGAGGGTCTGGAGCAGGGCACCACTCTGTCTGCTGTGTTGAGGACCCACTGTAGACGGGCAAAAGGAAGATGCAGGGAGTGCAGTGAGGAGGCGGTTGCAGTGACTTTGACGTTCAGTGTCTGCTAGCACTCATTCCTGAAAGCTCCTCCTGGTTCCACGAGTCGAGATCCACTGCTTCCTGGAACTGGACGTTCTCATCACAGAAGTTACCACAAAATACTTTAATGGCCTATTGACTTATTTCGAGCTCGCATTACAGTGTAGAACTCTATGAGTGCAGAAACTCTGACTATCTTATCCTGCAGTACAGTTCAGGACCTGGGCCTTGCACAGATACTCAACAAATTTTTGTCAAATAAGTGACTGTACTCCACCAACAACTGAAGGGCTGTCAATCTCACCAAAAGTGCCAAAAACTGGCAGAAAGGTCAATTTTTGGTTATGGAGCTCAGGGTTTGACTGATAATCCATGTTTTTGATGAGAGAAGTACTGGGTGCAGAGCAAAAAGGTAAGGCAGCAAATATGTGTGGTCAGACTAGTCCTGGGGAGCGGCAATAGTAGGGATTTAGAGAACCGTATCCTCTGATGGAGGCCTCTGCAAAGACGGGGCTGATTATCCCCAGAGCTTTTTATCTGAACTCGTGAATAAGCCTGAATCACAGAAAAATCTGAGAGGAGGGGTGGAAGAGGAGGATGAAGATACTGGGAGAAAAATGGTTAAAAGGCTGTTCTCTAGATGTCACCTTTCAAATCATCTTGCTTTGGCAGCACCATGAATAAGGGAAATAAAATTCTCCAAGAAAAGAAAGCAGCAAGTGTTTTCTGCCTTCCAAAATGTCACTGACAACTTCCATCTTCTATCTCGTCCTCTTTCCTCCAACCATACTTCTTGATGCTCTCTTGCTGGGCAGCATTAGAGCCTCAGCCATTACGGACAAGTCAAGAATAAGGTAGGAAAACAAAAATAGCCATCAGATTGCACTCAAGATGCCATAAAAGCCAAGAGGAAGCAGAGGGCACTTTCCTGCTGTGAGTACAGTGTCCACGTGGCAGGCTGACCAGCGGCAGGGGCACAGGACTCAGAATCAACTGATGTTTTTATAGTTCCGGCTCTGCTAGTGGCTATTTATGTAACCTTGATTAGGGAATGCAGCATCTTGGAGTCTAAGCAATCTCATCTCTAAAACAAAGATAGGCCCTGGCCAGGTAGCTCAGTTGGTTAGAGTGTTGTCCAGATACAGCAAGGCTGCAGGCTAAAACCCCGAGTGATGGCACATATAAGAAGCAGTCAATGAGGAAGAGCACCACCAGTTGCATGTGGAGAGTAAGTGAAGTGAGTGGAAAGAGGGCAAGTGCCAGGCAAACTTCCAGAAGCCAGGCAGAGGCACTGTCCCCTCTCCAAGTCCTTCCCCCAGCAGAGCCACAAAGCAGTGAAGTGGGGTGCCCCGCCCTGGCAATTACCTAAGGCTCCGCCCCACACAATCTACAGGTGCCTTTTCTACAACAGGCCATGCTACTAGGACAGGGAGTCAAAGCAGCTCTACCTAATATGTAGAAACAGACTCAGGGAGGCTGCCAATTGAGGAGACAAAGAAATATGGTCCAAATGAAAGAAGAGAACAAAATCCCAGAAAAAGAACTAAATGAAATGGAGATAACCAACCTAACAGATGCAGAGTTTAACACAATGGTTATCAGGATGCTCAAAGAAGATCAAAACTATGAACATTAAAATGGCAACAAATTCACAACTATCAACAACTAAATCTAAAAAACAAACAAAGCAAACCAGAACAGGAACAGAATCATAGATATGGAGATCTTTTGGAGGGTTATCAGCTGGGATGGTGAAGGGTGAGAATAGAGGAAAAGAGGCAGGAATTAAGAAGCATAATTGGTAGGTACAAAATAGACAGGGGGATATTAAGAATAGTGTAGGAAATGGAGAAGCCAAAAAACTTATATGCACGACTCATGGATATGAACTAAGGTGGGGATTGCTGGAAGGAATGGGGGTACTAGGTGGAGGGGCGCAAGGAAGGAAAATGGGGACAACTTTAATAGCATAATCCATAAAATATATTTTTTAAAAAATGTAGCAGTTAATGAATGCATAGTAAGTGGAACAAAAATCGGTGTTTTTCTCTTTTCTCTCTTCCTCTTTGTCTCTAATAAAAAGTCTATAAATTAATATTAAAAAATAAAACAAAGATAATAATACCCACGTGAAAGCAGCTGGAAGTTTTTAAGGTGGGTGTTTTCAAAACCCCTGGCAAAGGATTGACCACTTAGCTATGGCTGGTACTATTTTTTATAATATGACCATCTGCAGAGGAGAGAGGCACACAACCTGCAATACACAGGCAGGTGAGGGAGAGCTGGCGGTATCTTCCGATGTACTGAGGGCCTTCAGTCTGACTCTTATGGCAAGAGGACCACCCATAGATACACTGAGACATTCTTAGAGAAACAAGAGAAAAGGTAGGTCTTTTGTATAATCACATATTTGAGACCTTGGAAAATAAAGGTCTCATAAAGAGTGAAGGCAGAACCCAGACTCTCTTTAGAAATTGTTTGTTTGTTCCATTGGGTTTGAATTCTTGGCTCAAACCCTTTTCTCATACATAGAAGTAAATGCTGTGAAAGTAACAAAAACAATGTGGAAATTAGAGGTTGCAAATAGAGAAATTAGGGGGTGGTTCAGGGAGAGCTGTCTAGAGAAAACTGGATTCAGACCTAAACATCTGCTCCCAATTAGTCTCAAATTCTTCTATAAGCAGTGACATAATATGGAGATTATTTCATTGGTTACTTAATTGTCAAATACTCCTTTACATAACTTATAAATTAATATGAAGGGAAAAATTTTTTTGATGCATTTTAATAACTTCATTGGGGGGGTGTCTCTTAGCACAGAGTTAGTGTGCAACAAACTGGCATCAGGATGCTGAACAGGAATATTATGTTTTCTCGACCAACAACTTGGTTACCACGTTCTCTTCTAAGCAACCTTCACTGAAAGCCTTTTAAGAGCAAATAAGGAGGAAAGATGGGAACATTTTAATTAGCCACGATGAATAAGCCCCCGTGTGCACTCCTGGGTTTTATGTGCCTTCCAGGCACTTTCATTTGTGCCAGCTGTTTCAGTGTATTCATTTCCTGGCTTCTATCCCCTGCAGGGCCTCCTTCCTATACCCACTGGAAAGAACGCAGCGTACAACCCAGCTGGGCCCTGCCAGGCAAATTAACAATGTAAACCTGTGCAGTGTGGTGGAGATCATTATTCCTGCCATTTCTACCCCTTGACTGTGTTAAATATTCACCCTGCTCTCTTTCTTACTGGTGTCAGTGAACCTGAAAAGACGTCATATAAATCACCCCGGGTTTTGGTGGAGAAGGAAATGAACCAAAGGCCTGTAGCCCAAGCAGAGATGGGAGAAAAGGCTCTGGGGCCCTTTGCCTCCCCTTGAGAGGTGTTTATTTAGGAACGAATAAGGAAGAGAAAGCATTTGCACTGCTATGTGGGGGCACCCAGAAGCACCCAAACTTGCATGTTTCAACATGACACTTGCAATCAGCGTGCACATGGTGAATTTTAATGGAGTAAGAACATAAACAGATAATTCAGGCTGAAACCCAAATGCAACAGCTCAAAACTGAGGAGAAATACACACATATCCCGGGGATCCAATATCAAACCTATCTATAGAGTTACCAATCACTACATAACACTATCCCCTCCTTCTCCCTCATTTAGATCAGTGCATTTTCACAAATCTGGGTTTGAATAGACCCAGTTTGACAGACGGCAGGATGCACTTGGTGATTTGCAAGGCATCCTTCTTTGCTTCACACAGTTTTTAGAGGGATGAATTTCATTTCTCTGTGCTTTATTTGGGCTTAACTCTTCCAAAAATGTGTTTTAGGGGTGTTTGAGCTCTTTGGCTGTATTCTTCAGAATGGATAATCACGGTTCACAGTTAGATGGGCTAGGGATACCTACCTTGAGACCACATTTAATGAGAGGCCAGTGATTTAGTGGGTTGGGAAGCATGAGGCCAGATGATAAAAACAAAAAACACCTGGGGAAAAATAAGGAGAGCTCTGGTATGGACACTGTTTCCACCAACGTGGGTGAACTTGGGGTCTCCCTTCACTGACCCCAGCTTCAGATTCCTCATCTAAAATGAAGGGTTGGGCTAAAACGTCTCTGAGGATTATACCTGACTTTCTGAAGCATGCTGTGTTGTGCAAAAGACCCTTTCCTCAACTACCACATTCCAGATCACTGGGTGGGAACCCCAGACTTAGTGGTTTGGAGGTCAGCGTCCACAAGCACCAAGGCTTATGGAGGAAGCTGCCTCAGTCCTGGGCCGTGGGTGTCCCCAGTGCAGGACAAGGGCTGACTGTAGCCACTGTGGACCAGGCCATGTTTAGCTAGGGAGCCACCGTCCTTGTGTTTCTTGCAGGTCCTAGGGATGGATCGAGTTGTTGAACCATGTGTACAGTCACAAGGAAGGTGAAAAATGAAATAAAACAAAAGGACATTTACCTGCCTGGTCCTATCCCCCTCCACCCCAACTTTTCATTATGGAAAATTTCACATATAAACAAAAGTAAAGAGAACTGTATAATCAATATCCATGTGTCTTTCAGCTTCAGCAAGTATCAACTCATGGCCAATTTTGTTTTCTCTAGACCTCTAGCCACTCTCTGCCTCCTTCCCTCATATTCTTTTGAAGCAAGTCCCAGGCACCAAATCACTTCATCCATAGAAATTTCAGTATATGTCTCCAAAACACAAGGACTCCTCCTTTAAGACAGAAGCACAATACCATCACCCCGTGAAAAAAGAGTTCAGCATTGTCAAATAACCAGTTAGTCTTTACACTTCACTAATTTCCTAGAAATTAAAAAAAAACAACCCCAACTATTTTGAATTATCTGGCCCTATCTTTCTAATACATTTGATCAAAACCTCCCCCTCCTGCCACACCGCCCGCTCAAAGTCCTGCTAAATACTTAATGCCTTTGTACCTCGGGTATCACAGTCACCTCCTGCTGGCCTCTTCCAAAAGCTCTGCCTTCTTTTCCACCTACTCAAGTCCCTTGTAATTTTAAAAATCACAGTTGACTCACACCATGCCCATAGCCCATAAGAAGCCCTCTCAATCGTCAACCCAACAGAGAGAGACCCCTCCCTCCTCTGAAATCCTGGAGCTTTTAAAGTGTCCTTTCAGTCTTCTTACTTACTTTTAATTTCCTGCCTGGTAGAATGGTGGGTCTCCCACATAAACCAATCATCATTCCAACTGGATTCTAAGTTCTCTGAGTACCATGAGTTATAATGCTTTAAATCTTCCTATGATTATGAGCAAAGTATTTTAGTTACAATAGGTATTCAAAATACCCAATGACTACTTTACCTTTGCCAGGTACATGAAGGAAGGCTTTTGCTCCCAGAAGCCATTAGCTTAGTCTTCTATGCTCCTGTGCTTCTATGTTTTTATGCAACTACCCCAACCTCATTATGAAAGTAACTTTTCCAGTTTAAAGGCTCATTAATGTAAAAGCAACACGAGAACTTGTTCAGAAATGGGTCTTCCCAAAAGAGAGTAACTCCGTGAGAAGGAATGGATGACAGCACGGGCTTCGCAGTCTGGAGGTCAGAGGCCACAGAGGGGCTGGAAAGAGTCCTACTTGGGTGAAGGGGAGACAGGCTACCATCTCATTGCACTCACTGGATCTGCGGTATGAGATGTAAGTCTGTGGTACCTCCTTTGTTGGCAGAAGCCCAAGGAAATTCAGAAAGAGAATCCGCTAGTGTCTAATGGGTGACAAAAGATGAGGGACTGATCTTGTTTTTAGTAAGACAATATTAAGGCCCCACTAGGTTCCCCAAACGCATTCCTTGAATGACACTAACACTCAGTAATGACAGAATGGCTAGAAAACAAAGAATCTTACCTAAGACACACACACACGCATGCTCATGCTGAATGTGTGTGTGTGTACTTGAGTGTGGTTGGGATGGCAGGGCTGATAATGGTGGGTAGAGGCACCTGACAGCGCAGTCAAAGGGCGGTGGTAAGGCGGAGAGCTACACGGACGCACATTTCAGGACAGCAGGGTGCCCGCGGACTTTCCATTCGGCTCTCCCTGCTCTCTAAAGACTTACTAATGTGTCTTGAGGAGCCAGTACTGTCTCCTCTGGCAGAAGTCGTATGATGTTCTTAAGGCCGAACTAAAGAAGAGGGTCATTCACAGGTTTCCACTGGCACAAGAGAATCAGCTTGGAATTTAATCATTTACATTATACTGAAATTAAAAGATCCATTTTAAATACTCTCTGTTACAAGAGACAAATGTTGTTATACTTCCTGGGCAAAGCATTATTCCAGGATCTAGCTCAGGTCTTATTAATATCATTTGGAATGAGATGAACAATACATGTTTGATGGCATCTTTCCTATAGCTTCTTCAAAACTGATTTTGAAGAGTTCCAGGGTGTTAACCGTGATAAAATTATGCAATAAACCATTTTCCTCTTGAAACAGAGAGGAAGTTCCTGACTGAACAGGGATAAGGTAAAACTCCGAGGTCACAGCACACTACCTTACAAAAAGGCCGGTGTGTTTGTACCTGCTGCATGCCAGAAGGAACACAGGGAGAAATGATAAATTTAATGATAAAACATGCCCTTGTACCAAATCAAAACACATTTAAAGAAGAGCCTGCATAAAGAGATTTTTGAGAACTATCCAGTTTCTTTAAAATGATATTAAGTCAAGGAGAAAACAGTTGTGGACCAAGGCAGGTTTAAGATGAATGATGTAAATAAGGCTATTAAAATAGGCTTTCAAATAGAATCCAATCAGCAAAAATCACAGGAGTATTTAGAACTAATTCTAATAAATCTGTTGGAATAGTTATCTGAAGTAGCACCCAATGCTACAGTTATTTAAGTATCAATTACCATGGCAGATTTTGTAGCTACATCAGTTAAAAACTGCAGTCAAATCACATGTTCTGAAGCTAAATTTACAATCATTATGGCACTCAGAGCCTTTACTATGTTCCAGAGCTTTATAAAATAAGAGACATAAGTCGCTTGCTACTGTTGCAATGAGGCAAATGTTTACATCCCACATTTCTGGAAAAGGAAGGAAAATTATAGGTTCTTACCAAGTAATCATCAGGCTTGATACCAAAAAGTTCTCTGAAATAACGGAATGCTAGTGGAGCATATGTCTTAAATCTGAAGTCTGGGTAGTGATGTGCTGGGGTCAGATTGCTCCCTTCACTGTAGTTAAAATATTAAAAAGAATAAGAAAGAGAACATTAGCAAAGGCAATTTGGACTTCGAATTCTATAGCAGGGTCAATTTCCCCTCTATAAGAAACACCCACTGAGAGTGAGTCTCTTGAAGCTCATGTTACAAAGGCCAGTAGCCATCAGGTAAAAACAGATGCTAACTCAGCAAGGGCCACTCCAAGCAGGCATTCCCTGCCAATCACACTGCGTCTTTAGCCTGAAAACTTTTCATTATCCCCCTGCGCTTCCTTCCTGGGGAAATCAATCCATCTTCTCTGGTGAAACCATGGTTGACTTGCTTCAGGCATCAGATCCAGGATTTAGTGTGTGGAACAATTTCAGAAAGGTATTTTCTGACCATGAATTTTGAACACTGGATAAATACTTTTAAGTAGGAATGAGTAAAATAATTTTTAAAATATCTCATCAACAGACAGAACCATCAAACTACAAATGAATGGGACCTTTCTTAAATCAATAATTACAAGAAAAGAGATGTTAAATTTTGTAGGGATTTTAAAACCTTATTTCCATTCTCACATACATCATTTTATCCCCCCCCCCTTTTCTGGGTTCATCTTTGAATTTTTTTGCAATATTTATGACATATGGAAGTTGTAAAGTATAAATCAGTGAATATCCATGACCCCCAAATGCTGATTAAGAAATAAAATGTATCCATATAGTTGAATCCCTTCAATACTTTTTTCTGATCTTATACTCCTCTTTCCCCTTGGAGGTACCCATTGGCCTGAATTTTGATGTTTATGATGTTTACCATTCGCTTCACTTTTCTTCTACATATAATAATAAATTTCACATGACATCAGAGAAGTCACCTAATCTGCCTATACTTAAATTTTTCATTGTGAAAAATTAGAACAATGCAGTGGAATAATATGATTTTACATGGAGGTTTAAGAACTCTTTTTGCCATGTTCTATATGGAACATCGAAACTCTATGGAAGTTTATCTTGGTCTGATTTCATGATACCACACAGTCAAATAAGACTGTGTTCCTTTGACGAATACTAAGACTAGTTTGCACTCTCTTAAATCACACTGGTCATCCAGTGTGGTAGTTAAGATGCTCGTAACACCTCGCAGTCCAGGAAGAACTGGGTTTGAGTTCCAGCTCTACCATTTACAAGTTGTTTCCTGGGGCTGGGTCCTGTAGCTCTAGAAATGAAATGACAAAAGGAATGGAAACGTGAATGGCCAAGTGCCCGGCATGTGGGAAGCCCCTCAGTGTGTTTGGATACTGAGGCTGTATGATGATAAGAAACAATCCAGACTTGAGCACTTCACATGAAGAATGAGTTGACCAGACATTAACAAAAACAATGATAAAAAGGGAAAATATTTGTAACACATGTCACAAAGTGCTAATCTCCCAATATAAAGAGCTCCAGTTTCCACTAACGAAAAAGACAAAAAACATTAATTAAAAAAAAAAAAGCCAGAGATATGATCAGGCACTTTAGAGAAATGGAAATATACATGATTTAAACAAATGAAAAGTTGTCTGACCTTATTCAAAATAAAATAATGAAAATTAAATGTCACTGAGAGGACATTTTACCTATCAGATTGACCAAAGTCCAAAATTTTGGGATAGCTCAAGGGAAGTTGGCATTCTGAGACATGTTTAGTGGGAATATTTTCACAACTTGTCAACATTATAAGTATACGTAACTCTTTGATTCAGCAAATGCATGCTTATAATTTATGTGACAGATAAAGTAGCACAAGTACAAAATGACACATATACCTGCTTATTCATTATAGCATTGTTTGTGAGGATGAAGGATTACAAGTAACCTAGATGTCTCTCATATGGGACTGGTCAGATTAATTATGGTTCAACCACACACTGGGATACTATGCAGATATTAAAAACAAACAAACAAACAAAAACCAAGGCGGCTTAATATGTAATGACACAGCAAGACCTCTAGAATAAAGTGAAAGAATCATGATACAGGTACTGCGTGTGGCATGCCACCATTTGTATACAAAAGGAAAGGAAAAATTTTTGGCAGGTATATGCATAAAAAATCCCTGAAGGATAAACATACCCCCTAGTAACAGTGACAAGTGGCTTTGGGCACTGGCTGAAAAGGCACAGGGACCAAAGGGACACTTTTCACAGTTTTCTTTTTGAAAGAATCAGGAGGATAAACCCTTCTATGTATTATTGTTCACAACATTAAAACATTTTTAAAAGTTAGGGTTAGAAGCCATAACCTTATACACCTCCCCACCGCCCCAAAAAACAGAGCACAGCATGCTCAGTACCACAGCAGGAGGGGTTGCTTCTGCATATTAAGCTGCTCCAGTGAATAACAAATACCAACTTGGCATGAGTGAAGCTCTGCTGAAGGAAATGAAAATTAATGGGACTGTTGGCCCCAGCTGGAGTTTGTCAGGAGTACAATGCAAAAGAGCAGAACCAAACAGCAGTCCCAGCAAGGAGTAGCCAGCAGACACCAACCTGAGTTTTCTGAGGTCATGCATTGGCAGACCTGCTGGCTGTGGGCATGGGCGCTGGTCCACAGATATCCAACACAGGCTCCTCCACATGTGTATAAAATGCTACGCCCTGGCCGTTGTGGCTCAGTGGACTGAGTGCCTGCCTGCGAACCAAAGGGTCGCCAGTTCGATTCCCAGTCAGGGCACATGCCTGGGTTCCTGGCCAGGTCCCCAGCTGCGGATATGAGAGAGGCAAACGCACACTGTTGTTTCTCTCCCTCTCTTTCTCCCTCCCTTCCTCTCTCTCTAAACAAATAAAATCCTTTTAAAAAAATAAAATGCATAGTTAAGGTGGTTAAATACAACTAGAGTCCACATGAGTCCGCTGGCCAGGGGAACGGTCCCACTAAAGACTCCTGTGGACTCTCCTTGCCTGAGCTTGGGTATTCTGCATCAGAAGCCTGTGGCCAGCACCTAGGTCTACTCAGCAAAAATCCCCTGCGGAAGGGCTGACTTCCCCACAAGTTAAGATTTACACCAAGTTCCTTCAATGACTTTATGTTCTATAGTGTCTGAGGGAACAAAAAATCCACTTTTCTCTCTTGGCATTAAAATAGAGGCTTTGGAAATTTTAGCTGTGAGGTTTTCAGCAGTGGTTCTGGGTGTCTGAATCCCATGAGCCAGTAAAATTTCAACAATAAAAATTTGGAGGTCAACATAAAATTTCCAACTTTATGTTCCCAAGTAACAACCTACACAATTAAGCAAACCCACAGTACTAGCCCCATCAAGTTATAAAAGAAAGGGTATGTTAATACCATAAAAGCAGGAAGAAATTTAGAATAAAGAACAGTACTTCCTCTCTTATCCTTTTCTCTTATTTCACCAAGAATAAGCAGCATCTTATACATGGCGTGCTCCCTTGATTTCAAATTGTAACAGTCAGTAGTGTGGTTAGGTCTCTGGATGAAACTAGTGAATCAGCAACTCCTAGGTGACAGACTTACCATGAGGGACTGGCTCATGCAACTGTGCAGGCTGAGAAGTTCCATGATGTGCTACCTGCCTGCTGGAGGCCCGTGTGAGCTGGTAGTGTGATTCTAGTCCAAACCCAAAGGTCTGAGAACCAGAGGAGACAATGATTTAAGTCCTGACCTCAGTCTGAAGGCCCAAGGACCAGGAGAGCCGATGTCGGAGGGCAAAAGTTGATGGGCATCTCCACTCAGCAGAAAGTGAATCAGCCCTTTGGAAATCTTCTAGTTCTATTCTGGCCCTTAACAGATTGGATCATGCCCCTCTGAATTAGTGAAGTGATTTTCTTTTCTCAGTCTACTGATTCAAATGTTTAATTTCTTCTGGAAACACCTTCACGAACAACCCAGACATAGTGTTCTATGAGCTATCTGGGCATTCCACAGCCAGTCCCAATGACTCATAAAATTAACCATCATAACAAGCAAGACCACAAGTCCCATGAGACAGGACAGTGAAGGGTGCTCTGTCCTGATGTACAGACAGTGATACTGAGTCTAAGAAAATTTAAGTGGCAATACAGTTGGACAAGCGACACTACCACAGTTCAACAACAAACTAGTGCTGGCACCCAGGCAAGTCACAGTCTGCAGAAGCAGCCTTAGGTATCAGTAAATGCCGCTGCCAATTCAGGTAAGGTGGAGCTCCTTTAAGTTTCCACATATGAAATAGAAATTGGTCGTTTCTTTTGCCAAATTAGATAGTGCTCTTGAGTGGAAAAACAAAGCAAAACAAAAGACCTCCTCCTCACCAGTGCCAGCCTCCCTCTACAGAGCGGCCCTGTGCAGTAGGCATGGCGTCATCTTTGGAGGCCAGTCAGCTGACAGTGCTCTTTGAAAGTCAGTAGCTGAGGCTAGCTGAAATTATGGAACAAAGTAATGCATTCTGGGGTGTCATTTACTGTATATCTGTGCTATCATTGAGTATTTAAATGGAAAAACTTTTCAAGTAGTTATTGCCATACCAGGAAATTGTGCTTTGAAGGCAATTTCAACTAAGTTAAAATGTTATATAATACTCAGGACATGCAATAACTCTTATTTTGAACTAAAAGAAGAAGCATGTAACTTTTATTGATAGGAAATCGGGTTTTCCCCATTCCCAGCATGTAGGCTGAGCAAATATTTAAAGACTTTTGACTTGAAGGGACATCATATTATTGGCTTGCCCAGCAACCTAATCCTGAGGGGGACATGGTGGCAGTTTTGTATTCTAGCCACATATACATAAAACTTGGTGCAGAATGTCTGTAGAGATCAGGGGCTGGGAATCTTTTTAGAGCCTCTGTTGTAGCTACTCAACTCTGCTGTTGCAGTGGAAAAGCAGCAACAGGTAGTACGTATGTGGCTGGCCTTGGCTGTGTTCCAGTTGAACTGTGTACACAAAGAGGCAAAGAGCCGAATTCGTGCTGCGGGTCGCAGGGTGCTGACTCCATGGTACAGATACAATTCTTGGATGTGTTTCTGTCAGCATTACTTGAAATT